TTTCCGCAATCTCAAGATTTCCAAGGAATAAGATTGACAGATTTGCCTGAGCTAGAGGAGTTGTTTCGAATCAACATCGCTGTCTATTCTTTAGAACCTGAGTACAATGAAGAAGGGGATATCCGTCCAAAAATCATCACACGCCTGATCCAGCGTTCTCATCACACCTTCCCTACCACACTGAATCTGAACCTGTACAACGACCATTTCTCATACATCAAGAGCCTAGCACGATACTCCAAGTCTTACCAATGTTCTAAATGTGGTAAATACTGGAAACATGCCGGGAAATTACATCGTCATGAGCTCAAGTGTGAAGCCAAGGTCCGCTACAGCTTCCCTGGTAGTACCTATAAAACACCCAAAACCATCTTTGACTTACTGGAAGATGAAGGCATCACCATTCCTGATCATCTACGTTTCTTTCCCTACCGGGCGACGTTTGACTTTGAATGTATGTTTAGTCAGGACCAGTTACCTAAGAACAGCGATAAGTTATCATGGCAAGCAAAACATGTGCCGCTTAGCGTCAGCGTATGTTCTAATGTCCCTCAATACCATCTGCCTCAGTGTTTTATCACTAACGGTGATAGTAAAGAACTAGTGCAAGAAATGGTAGAGTACCTGGTAACGATAAGCAAGGAAAGTAAAAGACTGATGAAAGAACAGTTTGCTGATGTAATGACGGCGATTGACGAAAAGATAATAGATAGAGAAGCTAATGAGGAAGAAAAAACTGAGAATGAAGAAGAATTAGAAAGTTATGATGATGATGATGATGACAATGATCGTGGTATTGATGTACTGGATAGTGACAATGATAATGAGGAAGAAGTGGAATCAGAGAATGAAGAGGAACGCGCCTTCATTGATGATAATTCAGTGGATGATGATGATTACGACCCCGCCTTTTACAGAGCATTGGACCAGGAGCTCGGTGACAGGTTCCCAACCGCGCAAAGAAATGAGAACAAGAAAGAAAAGAAACGACAGCACCCTCTAGTGAAACTGAAGGYATGYAGTCATAATATTATCATAAACGATTATRTTTTGTAATGTAATATTTTGCATACTATTTTTCCAGATATGATACTTTACTTACTTTTGTTGAATATTATGGTATATTAASTTATGTTAWGTTTTTGAMGATTTTATAACACTTCCATTTAACGTTAACAGGTCAGACTTGAAGATTACTTGAAAGAGCTGCCTGTGGTTGGTTTTAACTCTGGAAAGTACGATTTGAATGCCACCAAGCAATTTCTTTTCCCTGTTTTAACCGAGATGGAACAAATCCAGTTTGCCGTCAAACGAAACAACAACTGTATRTGCCTTAAAACAGAACATCTTCGATTTCTGGACATCGTYAACTTTATAGCACCAGGGTTTAGTTATGACAAATTTCTCAAGGCCTACGATTGCCCCCAAACCAAAGGTAATTGTATTTTCTGTCTTAATTGTCATTAATGTTTTTTAGAATGAGTTTTACAATTTCACGTTTTATTTATTTTTTTTCATTTGATGTTTAGGTTTCTTCCCATACGAGTGGATGGATTCCTTGGAGAAGCTCGAATGTACAGCACTACCTCCTCACGAAGCCTTCTACTCATCACTAACCAACTCTAATATTAAAGCTGAAGAATATGCCTACTGCCAACAGGTCTGGGCTGACAATAACATGCRAACATTTCGTGACTTCTTGGTTTGGTATAACAACAGAGATGTGGTGCCCTTCTGCGAYGCTTTGGACAAAATGTCAACCTTCTGGCGAGAAAAGAGAATCGATATGCTGCGACAAGGCATCTCCATTCCAGGAGTTACTCTAACCTACTTGTTTATGACACTGGAACCAGGCATCTTCTTCTCCCTATTTGATGAAAAGAACAAAGATCTTTACTATTCCTTCAAGAGTAACATGGTTGGTGGGCCAAGCATCATCTTTCACAGATACCACGAGGCTGGTCAAACCAAGATCCGTGAAACAGAAATGAAAGATCAAGG